AATGAAGCAGCAGCAGGAGAAATCAAGGAATCGATTCCATTTACAAATGCCCTGAAAACCATAAAATACCTAGGAATAAACCTAACCAAAGATGTAAAAGATCTGTACACTAGAAACTATAGAAAGCTTATAAAAGAAACTGAAGAAAACACAAAGAAATGGAAAAGTATTTCATGCTTGTGGACTGGAAGAACAAATATTGTTAAAACACCAATATTACACATTCAATACAATCCCTATCAAAATAACACCAGCATTCTTCACAGAGCTAGAACAAACAACCCTAAAATTTGTGTGGAACCAGAAAGGACCCCGAATAGTCAAAGCAATCCTGAAAAAGAAAACCAAAGTGGGAGGCATCACAATTCTGGATTTCAAGCTATATTCCAAAGCTGTAATCATCAAGATAGTATGGTACTGGCACAAAAACAGACACATAGATCAATGGAACAGAAGAGAGAACCCAGAAATGGATCCATAAATGTATGGCCAACTAATCTTTGACAAAGCAGGAAAGAATATCCAATGGAATAAAGACAGTCTCTTCAACAAAAGGTGTTGGAAAACTGGACAGCAACATACAGAAGAATGAACCTGGACCACTTTCTTACACCATACACAAAAATAAACTCAAAATGGATGAAAGACCTAAACGTAAGACAGGAAACCGTTAAAATCCTAGAGCAGAAAACCGGCAACAACCTTTTTGACCTTGGCCGCGGCAACTTCTTACTTGATATGTCTCCGGAGGCAAGGGACACAAAAGCAAAAATGAACTACCAAGAGAAGGAAAAGGAAAGCCAGAGTGGAAAAGACATTTGCAATGCATATATCTGGCAAAAGACTCAGTTCAAAAATGAACTACTGGGACCTCATCAAGATAAAAAGCTTCTGCACAGTGAAAGAAACAATCAGCAAAACTAAACGGCAACTGACAGAATGAGAAAAGATATATACAAATGACATATCAGATAAAGGGTTAGTATCCAAAATCTCTAAAAAACTTATCAAACTCAACACCAAAAAAACAAATAACCCAGTGAAGAAATGGACAAAGACATGAATAGACACTTCTCCAAAGAAGACATCCAGATGGCCAACCGACACATGAAAAAATGCTCAACATTACTCATCACGAGGGAAATACAAATCAAAACCACAATGAGATATGACCTCACACCTGTCAGAATGGCTAACATTAGCAATTCAAGAAACAACACAATGTTGGTGAGGATGCAGAGAAAGGTGGAACACTTTTGCACTGCTGGTGGGAATGCAAACTGTGGCAGCCACTCTGGAAAACAGTATGGAGGTTCCTCAAAAATTAAAAATAGAACCACCCTATGACACAGCAATTGCACTACTAGGTATTTACCCAAAGGATACAAAAATGATGATTCAAAGGGGCACATGCTCCCCAATGTTTATAGCAGCACTATTGACAATAGCCAAATTATGGAAAGAGCCCAAATGTCCATCAAC